GCAAATAACCCAGACGTCCATCAACAGATCAATGGATAAAAAAAGTAAGCTATATACACAAATGAAGTAACACTCAGCCATAGAAGGCATTGAAATTCTTATACATGGATGATGTATAAAACATTCTTCTTACTACCTGGATGAATCTCTAAAACATTATACTAAATGAAATAAGCTAAACGAATACTTATGATTCCTCTTATGTGAGACACCCAGAATAGGCAAATTCACAGAGACAGAAAGTACAGCAGAGGTTACCAGGGATGGGGTTGGGAGGATGGGGAGTCACTGTTTCATGGGAAAAGAGTTTTTGTTTGAAATGATGAAATAGTTTTGGAAATGGATAGTTGTTATGGCTGTGCAACACTGAGATTATTCATTTAATGCCACGAAATTGTACACATAAAAATGGTTAAAATGATAAATTTTATGTAACTTATATTTTACCACAATAAAAAAAATTTAGCAAAAAGAGTTACCAATGATATTGAGAATCTAATATAATATGTACAAGGCAGAATGAGAAAAACAAAGATTCCAAAGACCAGTTCTTAGTACTCAATGATGTTAAAGAAATTTAAATTCAAGTAACATGGCACACTAAGTTGAAATGAATGTTTTCCTTTTCTACTACAAAAGCACGGAAATTCTAGATAAAACACAAGAATTTGTTTTAATACATTAAAGTGCTGTATATCTTTTCTTTGGTCTTGTAGACCTACTCTTCAATCATTAATACCCTCTCTACCTGGGAGGCTAATCTATGGGAACAATATGTACAAATATTCTTGTCCTCTGGTTTCTGGTCATTTTCAGCTAATGAGGAACATGGCAGGAGATAGAAAGGAGGGAGGAGAATGAAGTCAGTATTATTCCCTGTTCTCCCTGCCCGTAAGCCTATTTATGGCAAAAACATCCCAGTGTTACTAGCTCCAGGTACTGTACTATCTCCTGTGGTTTCCCTTCCCAGTCAACACCTTTGTCCTTATGAGAATGTCATCTTTTTCTAACTAATATAACAGTTAAACTTGAAATAAATAAAGGGAAATCTCAAGATGTCAGAAATGAAGAGGAAACACAAAGTCAGGGTAACGACTGGGAACTGAGTCATTACAGACTCAGTTTTCCATTATAGATTATTACAAGATATTGAGTATAGTTCCCTGTGCTATACAGTAGGTCCCTGTTGTTTACTATTTTATATACAGTAGTGTGTAGATGTTAATCCCAAACTCCTAATTTATCTCCCCTCCACCCCATCCCCTTTGGTAACCATAAGTTTGCTTTCTATCTCTGTGAGTCTATTTCCGTTTTGTAAATAAGTTCATTTCTATCATTTTTTTTTAGATTCCACATGTAAGTGATGTCATATGATATTTGTCTTTCTCTGTCTGACTTACTTCACTTAATATGGTAATCTCTAGGTCTCACTGCAATCCCACTCCCGGGCACTTCTCTGGAGAAAACTCTAATTTGAAAAGATACATGCATCCCAATGTTCATAGCAGCATTATTTATAATAGCCAAGACATGGAAGAAACCTAAATCAACAGATGAATAGATAAAGAAGATGTAGTATATACACAATGGAATATTACTCAGCCATAAAAAAATGAAATAATGTCATTTGCAGCAACATGGATGGACCTAGAGATTATTATATACCATATATTTAAATTTGTATGCAGACAGTTCTGTTGCTTACATGATAGTGTTGTCCACAGAATGTCTTCTTATAATCAGAAGATTATTAGTCAATGATTAGCAAGAGCAAAGGGATGCTAGAGCTTCCTGGGAATGCCAAGTCAAATAGGCATAAAGGCCTATTATGGATTATAACAAAATACATGCATAACCTCTCCACACTGTCCTCCCTAGCCCCATTCATTAAGTAGTTTCTCCAGTAAGAGGACACGGTTTTATCTCCATTCAGTCCGTAACACATTTAAATATACAGGAAACTTCATGAAAATTAGAAAAACATTTTTTAAATGGAATTTAAAGGATCACAGTAACATATCTACCATGTTGGAACTCAAAACAAAAGGAATAAAAATTACAAAGGTCATTACACACAATTTTACCAGCACTATAAACAAAAGGAAATGGGAAATGAAAGCCTGGGCACAAATTCTGACTTCTGGATGAATTAAACGACCACAGATTTAATCACAGATGAAGCATTCATACAAAAAGGAGAAAACAATGACTATATTTTCTGATGTCATCATTTACTGGCTAATTCTCAAAGAGGTAAATTTAAACTCAGATGCAAACGTAGTTAATCTTGATCTCCACATAAATATTTTCTTGAGAGCAAAAAGAGAAATTAAACATGAAGTGTTCAATCCACGAACACCTTCTAATTTGTAAAGTTAAATCAAAGTCTTAACATTGATCACCATATCAAAATTGTCTACACAAAAATCTTCCTGCCCTTTATGGAAAACAAACCTAAATTATTTTAAGATATTTCTCAGGGAACAAGCTTCTCAAGTGATTGTAGGTTTCAAATCCATACCAGACTGCTAGCAATCACTCACCTCTTTCTTTCCTTAACCACACTACATAAACAAAAGAGGGTACATTTTGAAAATATTTACCACATTTTCCCCCATAACTCTGTTACCTTATGTAAGCTGCTTTATATGGTCTTTCTGGAATATTAATGTGAATCTTCTGCATTAAGATTCTTTCACTTTCAGATCTTTTTCACACAGATCAGATTAAATCCATACCTAATACAAAACTAACAAATCCACTAGAAGCATTTTCATTATTTATCTTTATAACCCAATCAGAAAAAAACCCTCAACATTCTAAGTTTAAATTAATTGCAGTCATGTAAGGAACTTATTTTTGAAATCAGAATTAATTTTTTTAAGTGACTGAGAAAATGTCTCCCTTGTTAATCTCTCCCTTTCTTAACTTCCTCACCATTCTTCTAGTCTATCACATTTATTATATACCTACTAAAACAAAATTGATACTAATGCCTTTTTCACTTTTGAAGATCCATCTCATATGTTACTGCCTTTGTAAAATACCTACAGATCCCATAGAATGAATTTGTTAATAATTTCTCTATAATTGCAGGGCATGCTCATCTCTATTACATCTTATAATCAGGGTCACCATGTCCTTCTGTATAGGTTGGACACTACACAATTCTAGAAAGCACCATTCAATCTGTACTTGTGTGAATGGCAGGCTCTAGATGTATGACAAACAGGTGTGACCATTCCACATGAGCCCTGTCTTTTCTGGGCTTGCAATGTTTTCTTAAATATTTCTTTCTAAAAGACTACTCCCAAGATAGGTACTCATTTTCATCTTGACGTTCCAATGAATACAGTACTTAGTGAACAACTGTTTAATGAAACACTCTCCTTTCTGCCAAATGTCCACAATATTTAACTTCATTTATCAATTTCACTTGTACTAGCTTTGTCTAGCAATGTATCACCCCAAGCTTTGATTACTCTACCAAAGTATTTCACAAAGTGTATTTTGTGCAATGTTAACATGTAGGCTATGATAAAGGGGTCTTTGGTTAAATGAGTTTGGAGAGTACTGCGTTGAAGAAAGTCAAAGTTTTCTTTACTGCAAGAGCTTTTGTATTCTAACAATATTAATAATCTCCAAGAAAGGATTCACTGTTTTTACCCTAAAAGGATATGTCCCATTGACTCCATAAGGGCACATTCCTAGATTTTCATTTGGGGGGAAAAAAGTAATCCTATCACTTAGGTCATTGTGTTTCTTAAGATTTGGAATGAGCAGGGATACAGAAATTATTTATGCAGGGGTCAAATAGATCTACTCCAGCATGTGTTTATGCAAAAACAAAAACATAACTTCTACCTCTATTATATTACAGTAGTTCTCAGTGGTAAGCCTCTATGGAGTGTTTCAGAAATGTATTAGGGTATTTTTGGTTGACTCAATGATTGGGTGTCACTACTGGAATTTAAGGGTTAGCAGTTAGGGTATCAAGAGGTCCTATGATATATAGGACTGTCCTGAAAAATGAACACTATCTTACAGACAATGAAGTAGGTAAAAATCCTGTTTATAAGTCAACATTTGAGCATAAAACTGAATTCTGTTTTAAATCTAAACACAATATTTTTGCACTTATGCATGATTTTATTTATTAAGAGTTCCAGAAATGCAACTACTGAAATGAAAAGAATAAAAACTTTTGTTTTAAACTTTATCAAGTTTGCCATTACCTCAGGAAATCACAGCAACAACAACAGTACCAACTTGTGGTATTTAACAAAGACCTGCACAAGTCTATATGCGGCAGACACACTCACAGTAATTCTATGTACCTGGCTACTTCATTACAACTTCTAATGTAACCATGCCTGAGCATTTATATATTAAAATAATAATTACTATACCTTAAATTAATTTCCTTTACTCCTTTATATTTTATTCAAAATACTAGATATTTTTGAAATTATATGTATATGTAGGTCATATTATGTTTATTTTCATTTCAGGATAGTAAAGGGGGCTTTATAAAACATTTGTTATTAAAAGGGGCACTGGCACATTGGGTGAAGTTATGGTGTTAAAAATGAAAAGAAAGGCTTCTATGATCAGAAGGAAGAGGAGAGAACTTTGGGTCAGACAAGACTGAAAAATCACTAACCTAAAGATAACAAAGGCACTCTGGTTCTGAGCCTCTTTTGTATCAGCTTCTACATTTCCATACTTCTGAGGAACCATACATTTACTGTCTCAGTTTTTGCCATTTCACAGAACCCCTACTGTCCTGAACTACCCCACTAACTACTAAAAGTGATTAAAATACTTGGACCTAAAAGAAACAGTAATACACAGCCACTGCTACCATAGCTCCTCACGAACCTTCTAAACTCACTAGCTTCCAGAGAGGTATGGTCATCTTCATTCTCAATCCTGATACAAAACTCTGTGGTATATATACCACCCTTCATTCAGTAACAGAATTTTTCAAAAACACTTACCTCAGTAGTAGTTCCAATGTCAGCAGATGGGCTACATGTGCTGGTATCTGGAGGAGCTGTGCCTATACTGCTTCTAACTGGAGAACTAGGGACAGGCCCCACTATGGACTCCGGATAAGCTGAAAAAGAACTGAGATTGCCTCTCTTCTGAATCTTATTCCAGACTTCATTCATGATATCTGTTAGCTCATATAAGAGCTGCACCTAAGCAGAAGGGAAAAATAAAAAGGAAAAACAAATCTTTCAACTTCTGGTCACAACTGACTAAAATATTAAATGTGAGAAAATGAAAACAAGTCCAGGGAAATAAGAATATATGAAACAAAAATCTATCATTGTATCACTGATCATGGTATTATATCATAACCTATAATCTGTGATATATAATTATTATATATTATATATACTGTAATTATTATATATATGATGACTATTTTGTCATGATACCACAATTCTGATGAGATATAGAGAAAAATAATTCATATAAAAATATACAATATTAAACATTTTATCATGAATTGAATTTAGGAAATATAATTAATTTATTCATACTTTTAATTTGCCACATAGTCACATTTTGATATTTTATAAGCAATTTAGCATTTCTGTGGGAAAATAATGCTAATAAAATAATGCTAATAAAACAGCTTATTATGGTACAGTAGATTTCTTTTAATATATGACTAATAGAACAATCACAAAGAAATGCCTTTTAAACAGAGGTCAGGATCAAAATTAGAAGTCAAATATATCCTAGTAAACATGATTATTTAGTTATACATGAAATAATTACCATTCTTATTTCTAAATTATTTACACATTTAAACTTTCTCTATTTTCTGAAGAATAAATCTGAAATTGGATTTCTTGCCCAGCAAAATAAAGTAAAAAAGAAAAATATAACACAGAAGAGTAAAAGGAAAATGTTACATATGAGACTTTTCTATAGATAAAGAACATAAACTATCCAACCTACTATTCCCCTCAGATTTGTCATTCCAATATTCAGAAAAAAAAATTGTTTAACTTGCACGTTGTTTGACTAAGTTCTAAGATATTTACATAAGATTTCATAAATAAGCATTAATCATGGAATCTGTATGACAACATATTGCCATATACTGTATAAAACAAGCCTAGGGGGAAAAATGCAAACACAATGTATAAGCAAATCCACAGCTGGATACCATATTCTGCTTGCCATTAAAAAAAAAAAAAAGAAAGAAAGAAATTCTCATATTTATAAGAAGTTTCAGCCTCAGGACACATCCAGATGATAAAGCTGGCTTCTTATGTGGGCAGAACAGATGCCTAAAAACAGTGTTGTCAATCCTTATTTGATATAAAACAGTATATGGGTTACAGTTTTCTCCTGCTTTTTGTGTGATGAAGTCTCAAATCTCAGGTTATAGCTCTTTTTGTTTAAAAAAAAATCTAATGGCTAGAGATCCTACAAAAAAGCTCTTAGAAAAATTTTAGTTCATATTCTTTTGTCTTTCATAATCATGAGTGTTTTCTAAAAAGAAACCATTTTGTTCCAAACCAAATTTTTAAAAAGATTATTTTACTTTTTCTTAAACAATTAGAACTGACAAATAAGGAAAGCATAAACAGTTTCTAAATACTTTCAAAGGCATAAAGTTTATTTACCTAAGAGAATTGATGCCGCTTTTATTGTCACTACTTCTGGTTTCCTTTAACTGTTACCATTAAAAAATTGTATATGAATGTCACCAAGTACACTGTGTATTCAGCATGCCAAGCAAACACTGACATAAACTTTAAACGTATTATTATTTTCAAAGAAGAAAGCTGCTATCACAGAATCCAGACTTCACAAATTCAGAGGTTTTAAAAAAATAGAGCAAAAATGCTGAAGATAAATGTTCAACTCTTATCCTTCAAGCTGTACTGAAAACCATGCCAACTAAAGCCACAATGAGCTACCACTACCCACCTATTAAGACGTCTGAAATTAAAAAGCATAACCAGACCAAGTATCAGTAAAGATGCAGAGCAGCTAAAACTCTCATTTACTCTGATGGAATGCAAAATTTAGAATACAGTTTGGCCATTTCTGAAAAAAACATATACCTACCACGTGAATGAGCCATTTCCTAAGTGTTTCCCCAAGAAGAATTAAAATCTATGTCCACACAAAGACCTATATAAAAATGTTCACAGAAGTTTTATTTGTAATAGTCTAAAACTGGAAAAAATCTCAAATGTTAACTAATAAGTTAACCAACAATACAACAGAATACTTAGCAATAAAAATAAATTAGAGATTCATGCAAAACCAAGGATTAACCCCAAAATTATTATGCTGAATCAAGGAAGCTAGGCAAGAGAGAGAGAGAGAGAGAGAGAACGCAAACTGTATGATTCCATTTATACAGAATACTAGCAAATGAAAATTAATCAATAATGACAGTATCAGTGATTGCCTAGGATTGGGGGAGGAGTAAAAGGAAGGATTACAAAGGGGCACAAAGAAACTTTTGAGGATGATGGATTAATGCATTATCTTGATTGTGAAGATGATTTGATGGGTATACATAGTCAAACCTTATCAAATTAGATAATCTAAACATGTGCAGTTTATTGTATTTATGTCAACCCCAATAAAACTTTTTAAAAAGATCTCTAAAAAATAAGCACCACGTGAGGCAGCTTTATATGGGTTATGTATGAAGGTGATTGAATATCAATAATATTTTGCATATCAAATACTGATTGGATATGTAAGATATTAAATATTAAAAAGTAATATTTTATTGTTGAAAAATTAACTGCACATACATTTTCTCATTTAATCTCATAACCAATCAGAAAGAAGACTTAATTGGACTGAAGAGGCTGAGACAAACCTCAAGGAAATACATTCTTGAAGGACAGATAGGATTTAAGTGGGTGCAAAAAGCCATTCCAGTCATAAGAATACCAAGAGCAACAGCCAAGTACAGGAAATGAACAAGACATGACAAAGGGGCCATGACAAGTTTTGCAGCATATTAGGAGAGTCAGATAGAAGAGAAAATAGAAAGGTAGACATGAAGAAGAAAAACCATGGATATACAATGTCAATGGAAACCAAGCAGGAATGGAACTTCAACAAGCAATTACTGATCCATGTTGAACAAAAAAGAGCTCTAAGTGAATATGAATTTAGAAAGGCTATTTCATTTGGCACACAGGTCGTTACTAATCATTAAAATTCAGTTTCAAAAGAAAGAGTTTTTGCCAAAAACAAAAACATCCTTTTCATACAGAGCATTACACTTAGTCTACTTTTGTTTGAAAGATAAAAATAAAAATCAGGAGCTCAGAGAAATTAAAAATGGGTGATTTGTCTAAGACTACAAATCCAGTTTTATCCGAACTGAATGCTTATGTTCTTAGACAGTAATGCCAAATTCCATTAGCTTGGTGAAAACTGAACTTACAGCAATAAAAACTATGACAAAATGGATAGAAAAGGAGCATAAAAAACATTATTTCTCTAGTTTTACAACTTAAAACCCAAAAATGCAAAGATACTTTTATGTTTTGGGGAATGCCTTATAGGTAGACAAAAATGTATCAATTTATTGGTAGAGGGAAAATTAAAATTTTATTATATTAAAGAAGATTCCTTATTAAAGAAGATTCATTTAATTTTGGAATGAACACAATTTTTAAGGTCTGAGAGACTAGTGCCTAAAGACATTAAAGAGAATTGGGTAACTTTAGTAAAACACTTAAGATAAAAGGCAAGGTTGGTGCAAATCACTCCTAGGAACAAATTCTCTGAATATTCAACCAGGTTAAATACTTACAGCGTCTAAGGCTTTTAATGGCAGTGAGTTCCAGGAACTGACACAGCGATTTAGGTCTCTATAGTTGATACAGAGATCTACAACAATGTCAGACATGACAATAAATTTGGTCTAGGCCTGCCCTACATATAGAGCTTGCACTATATTTTAGAGTATATAAACTAATTGAGGGCTCTGAGCAATAATGAACCAAATTAATTGCTTACAAGAGCAAACACTTCTGACATCACTCTAACGAATAAACAAAAGAATGGTACTGAAGTAGGAATTACTTGAATGGAATCAAGCTTATACACTGGCTATAATCCAAAGTTCATAAAGCTTCTGACAGTGTATGTGAAATTTAGTGGGCATATACATTGTTCTGGGGAAAAGGCTTTTATAACATTCTCAAAGAAGTCCATGGCACAAAAAAGGATAAGTACTTCACAAAAAACACAAATAAGAAACAAAAAAGCCCCCAGATTAATCAGTGAGAAACCACTCACAAGAAAGAGGTTTATTTTGGGTCATTAATCTTAAAAGGAAAAGTAAAAATAGTAAAAGAAATTTTAGGAACTTATATGCACATGGATATTTGGGCCCACGATACACTATAAGGCAGGACACCCAGAAAATAAAAAGAGACATATAGATATATTTCACTAAGGAAGATTAAACGTTTTTGGCCAAAGATGCCATAAAGTTTGAAGGCAAATAACTGCATTACAGATACAGAGTTTGTATTTATAGAATATAAGGGAGGCTCTTCAAATTGCTAAGAAATTTAATAGAAAAATTAAGTAAATGATATGAAATATCAACCATAAAAAAGCAAATTCACTGGCCAATAAACACTGAAAAATCTGTTCATCCTTATTAATAATCAGGAAAATACAAATTAATGTAAACAACATGAACTGTCAATTCACAAAAGAGCAAACTCAACAGCCAATAAACATTTGAAAAGTTGCTCAAACACCTGGTTTCATTTCCCTTCAGCATGAAGGATTTCCTTTAGGATTTCTTGTAGTGCAGTCCTACTGGTGACAGATTCTTTCACATGAAAAATGTCTTTATTTTGTCTTCATTCATAAATGTTATATATTTTTTTACTTAGAATCTTGGGTTGAGAGGCTTTTAATTTTCTTAATTTTCACGATTTAAAGATGTTCTTTTGATCACTACAGCTTCTTATGAGAAGTAAGCTAACAAAATCTTGGTTCTCTTGCATGTAATGTGTCATTTTTTTCTCATGATACCTTCAAGATATGCTCTTTATCTGTGGCTTTCAACAGTTGGATTATGATGTGTGTAGGCATGGCCTTCTTCATGTATTTATCTTATTAATTTTTCTCCCCTCATTTCTGGCCTACATGTAGTACTCAATAAATATCTGCTGAATTC